ATGGTAAGAATCAACATTAAAAAACATTCGTATGAAAAGAAATATTTTGAAGAAGGAAGAAGCAATCATCCTTTGAAACAATATATTAAAAAAATAAACAATATATTAGACAATCCATCCCATCAGCTAATCTTGAGTGAAGAGTTGTCAACTTTCACACTATCTGAACTAGAGCTAATGATCCAAAAGGTATCTACCATTAGATGCGGTAATAAGGAGTATCTGGTCTCATGGATTTGCTGTATAATCAATAGAAAATGGAAAGAGTGGCAATTCCACAATGGATCTTCCATATGGCAAACTCTCTGGTTGTCTTTAACTTTAGTGTAGGATAGTATAATGGAGAAGAACTTATAGGAACACTATCTTTTCCACAGTTATCATGGTTACAGGAAACAGGTAATTATACAATGATTGCACACAAAGGTTGAATTCACCCATTGCCAGTCAAGAGCCTTGTATATAAACAAGATGTTATGTATACTGTTTAAATACCATATGTTTTGAAATAAGGATAACAATTTTAGTTCACTGACTATTAATGTATGTGTGTTTAAGAGCACGTGTGTGTGCCTTGTACATGAGCATGGAATCTCACTAAATAGATGAAAGTAAATGATTTTATTTAGTCTACACCCCAACCCCCTTTTTCATGGTGCAGTTATAGAACTGCTTGGCTTGCTTATTCTTCTCAACATCCTGCTTTCCATGAAAAGTATTACGCCCCACACATCCTAGACTCCTTACAAGTAGATCAGGAAGCTGCATTCTCTGCAATTCAACAAAGCTATCATTCTGATTTACAGTTCCCACATCTTCTACAGTCCAGGAAATGAATGTCACAAATCAACTCTTGAACCTGCCATCCATATTCAACCAAATAATACACTGTTGTCCTGCTTCCAAACCCAGCTGCAAGAGCATAGTGACTTCATAATGACTACAAAGTTTACTTACCAAATAAAACACAATCTAACAAATATGCACACCAGAATTAAAAGTGAAAAATGTAATGCAACCACAGTTTTTTAAAACCACAGACATGAAAGTAGTTTCAGCATTCATATTAAAACAATTAATTTTATTTTTAGCTCAATCCAATTTCAGATTTAATTTCTCTGATTAAAAATACCAAGATCGTTTGTTATTTATTAAAACACTAAACAGGTAAAACAGAAAAAATGTATTTGCTAAAAGCTGAAAAAATGGAAAGCTTTATTTGCTTGCAAATTAAAAACATAATGATCATTTATTTGGGTGAATTGGAAATTCAAAGGTTTTTAGTCACGAAATGTTACTGTTTAGTGCCAGTCATAAATTATAGATATATTAGTATTATAAGCAGCGAACAGGGATCAGTTTCAAGACTGTTACAGTCATGCTCTTTTTATGTTGCCAGGATACACTCTGTCATGGCTTCTCTCCAAAGAATCTCATGAATAATACTTTTGTGAAGGTTTCAAAAACAAGACTCTGACTGCCTCCCAGAAATGCAATTTCCAGGATTCCTTGGAGGGGAGATTTGGCATTTAAATGAATGCATTATCAATGGGTAGCTGAGTGAGCATCTGTGGCAATTTAGGATCTAAGTAGGCAATAGGTACAAGTGTTACCTTCAAATATATTATCCACCTGTCCTGAATTGGGAAACACAATCTTTATTCATCTGTTGTTCTACTGATTCAGCTGGTTTAAAAATATCCCAGTTTCTCTCTTCCTTCCACTTTCCCCCTTTGTTCTCAGCTTTCTTCAATTGTTGTGAAGTGCAAAAGTTATTTACACTTAGCTATCTCAGCAGGACGGGTAGGAGAGGAATAGACAAACCTTACTCTTCCCAATAGACTCAGGATAAAGTGAAGCGCTGCAGCATCTCCTAGCTAGTGTAGTCTCCCCATGAATAACTTTTGTCATCTTGATCACATTGTAATGCTCTTTGGCCACATGTATCTCATTTTTTATCTGTGAAATGCTGGATGGCATGCAATTGATTGCTCTCCCTATTCTGCTTAGAAGTCAGGAAGAGCATCCAGCCTGATGAGGATGACAGCCCCAACACAGGGTCAAAACGGATAGAAGTTAAATGGACAAGCAAGTTAAGGACTCATTTGAGGAGAAGTTCTATTTAATTCCTCCATAATTTATCACCTATCAGCTGAAGCTGTAAGAAGAAAAGGGTGAGTCAGTAGCTAACACACAGGAGAGCATTCCTTCAGAAATTTATATTTTATAGGCTAAATCACAGGGAGTAAAGGTCTTGTAGCTCTGTTGTGCAAGGAAGCTTGCACAGCTGCAGTAAATTTCAGCCACTGCCAGACAATTAGGCTAAATTCAAAATAAAAGAGTGACTTTATAAGAAGCAGTTTATGATTTATATATATGGACAAAGGCTACAGCAGAAACACATTGTGTCTATATTTATAACTAATCTGGATTAAAGTATTCTAAAGATGCTCTGATGCAGCCTGAGAGCATTCCTGGAGCCCTTTAGCCATCCACATGGTTGGTCAAGCCAAGGGTACATTGGAGTCATTGCTGAATCACTGCCAACAAGCAGCACCCTACTGGAAATATGCTGACCACATCTCTGGTCAGCTGGGACTCTGGTGTGACATCACCACAAGAAACATTGCCAGTAAGCCTCTGGCAGGTAGATATTTGTTGATGGTAACACAACAATGGATATATTGAAGGTATTGACATGGATCAGTCTAGATTAGTGGTTCTCAGCCTGTGGGTCCCCAGGTACTCTGGTCTACAGCTCTCCAAAATCCCAGCTAGTTTACCAGCTCTTAGGATTTCTGGGAGTTAAAGGCCAAAACATCTGAGGAACCACAGGTTGAGAAACACTGGTCTAGATCCAGTTCAATCCAGCTGTTAAAATCTTCAAAATCTCAGAAGCTCTCTGGAGCTTCCTGGAGATGCCAGAGTAAATCTCACACATCTGCATTAATACATGTGTGTGTGTGGAATTTACAGTTATACTTACAACGAACCACACTATGGGCAACTAACTGAGATATCACCTCATTTTCTGTGACAAGACATTACATAATAATAAACAGATCGTAAAGTTCAGAACCTCTATGAGTTTTCCAACAAACTGGGACAGCTATGGCAGCCTTTTCCCCTTTCTAATAAATAACAAACTAAAGAGTGAATTCAGTGTAGACAGTCATATCTAGAAAAAAAAACCAAGAGTGTTTCTGTGTGGTTCCCAACTTTAATAAAATGGCATCATTTTTCAAAATCAACAATTATTGCAATATTTTCCCTCCTATGCAGCCAGGTCAGCTAATTATACAATTCTGTCCTCAGCTTCTCCCTCTTGCTCCTCAACTGTCACTCAATAATTAGGAGTATATTCAGTGGCACATTTCACAGAAAGTTATACAAAAGAGAGAGGATAGTTTTGCACCTCTAATCAAGGTGTGTGTAATACTTAACTCTCATGAAATATGTTAATACTGGTATTTTTGTTATTCAACAATGCTGCTGTTTTCTAAATACAAATGCAGAAAGGGGTGGGGAGAGGGAGGGAGGGAGAGAACTTGCTTTAAGGGAGGACTGGAAGTGTGACAATTAAGGTGTAACGAGGAAGAATGTGACAGCTTTTTTTAAAACAAAGAAATTACGGACAACTATAATATTTTTCTTTTTTTCACTGTTACTACTGCCCTCCAACTTCAGATATCAATCGAATTCATGCCAGTTCGTAAATGTAAGAGTTGCTGAAATGCACAGAAAAGTGCCACTGCAGTTCAAGTACATACTAACAAAAACATGTCAAACATCTCACACAGATACTGGACACTCTGCCAGACATTAGTGTATCTTGAATCTAAATGAGTTTCCAACAAGTCTAGATACTGTGATCTATGAGCTAAAGACAAGAATCTATATATATATAAAATTGCTCTGTGCATAATGAGTAAAAACAAAAGAACCAATGAACAAAATCATACCAAATTTGGCAACAAAATGTCTCACTACACAAGGAGTGATCATCACTCAAAAAATTATGATTTTGTCATTTGGGAATTGTAGTTGGTAGGATTTATAGTTCACCTGTAATCAGAGAGCATTCTGAACTCCACCAATGATGGAATTGAACCAAACTTGGCACACAGGACTCCCATGACCAGCAGAAAACACTAGAAGGGTTTGGTGGGCATTGACCTTGGGTTTTGGAGTTGTAGTTCACCTACATCTAGAGAGCACTGTGGATTCAAACAATGATGGATCTGGACCAAACTTGGTACGAATACTCAATATGCCCAAATATAAACACAGATGGAGTTTTGGGGAAATAGACCTTGACATTTGGGAGTTGTAGTTACTGGGATTTATAGTTCACCTACAATCAAGGAGCATTCTGAACCCCAGCGGCGGAATTGGGTCAAACTTCCCACACAGAACCCTCATGACCAACATAAAATACTGTGTTCTCTGGTGGTCTTTGGTTACCCTTCTGACACCCCCCCACAACCCCCCCAGGGGTCCCAAACCCCAGGTTGAGAAATGCTGCCTTAAGGCCATACAGTCCAACTCCCTTCACCAGAGCAAGAAAACATAAAGCCCTCCTGACAAAGAGCCATCCAGCCATAGACATAAATATATATGATTCACACACACACACACACACACACACACACATTTATGACAGATATAGTACCATAGATTTGAAAGGGACCCCTAAAGAAGGGCAATGATATGTTGCAAGTTCTAGAGTAGGCAAACCAGACACTCTCCAGATCAACACTGACAAAGAAACAGTAAGAAATACTGTTTACCCACAAGCATCAAGAAATTACATACATTAGAAACCAACACTTTCTCATTACTTTATTTTCCAGATCACCAGACTGGGCCACAGCAACGTGTGGCAGGGGACCGCTAGTAGTATAATAAAAATGCTAAACCAATTGCTATAACCAGACAAGAAAGAAAGAAATATCAATTATATCCTAAGTAGACGACATATTAAACAATATTTTTCTTACCACTGGAGATGGCGAAAGTGCAATGTTGCCTATAGACGCTTTCAGTTCATCAACAGTTGCCGCACTCTTCAGAGCATCTTTAGACTGTAAAGGCTTGATTTTAATGTTGAATTTTTTATGTGCCTCCTCTTCCTCTTCAGATTCACTTGAGGAATAAAAGTGCTTTCCTTTGGTAGGTAGAACACAGTTAAGGATTGCTGAAATTGAACCATGGAATCTAACTTTGGATATTCAACAACAAGTAGCTAAGAATTAAATTTAAGAAGAATAATTCATCAGTGACATGTCCTGGAAGGGTCATTACTTCTGGGTTTTTCATTCCTTTTTTAGTTATATTGTTAAAATCAGAAACAGTTTGAAGACAAGTGAGAAGTAACCATGTCATTAAGCCCCAATTATTTCAGAGTTTATAAAGTTAGTTTCAGAACTAACAGTAAAGGATATAGCCTGGTTCTTCTGGTCTGATGCTATATCCCTCGTCATCAAGCTCAGGTGAATTCTGATACATGAAACACAGTGAAACAATTGGATTACTTGCAAGACACAACACAGCAGTCTTCTCCTCTCCTCCCTCTGCATCTCATTAATAATGGCTACACGTCCAACAAACTACCGACACACAACATTTTCCCACTTGGGATGGAGTAATTTGAACAAAGAATCTATCCAGGAACCTGTTTTCTCATCCAACTGTTTTGTTAATTGCTCTAGTCTCTGCATGGGATGGAGAAATGAAGCAACGTGTATCATAAAAAGGTTACTGAAATTTGTGCATGAATGAACCTTGCTGTAAAAAAAAGGCCACACATCTGTTGTTCAGCTTCTCTGGGGCATATTACAAAACAGACGTAATATTTATTCACCTAGAAACAATACAGATATAAAGATATGCAAATATATAGGCCAAGCCATTTTGCTATACTGTCGAATCAAACTTCTTGGGCATTAAATATAAATATTGCAAGCAGCAATACAATTGAATTTATCACTATTCAACAAAGCTAAATTCCTTCTATAGAAATTTTAATTTCTTCTAATTAGTTTGGACGTCTTCTATTTCAGTACCACAGTGTGTCTGGACTGAAACTCTCCTTATTAGCATAATTGGTTTTTAAATGTTTTATTACTGTCAGCTTTTCCAAGGCGGTTTTGCACAATATAATTAACATCAAGATATAATATAGAGTCAGCCCTCCACATCTGCTAGTTTAAATTTTGAAGGTGTAACCATTCCCAATTTGATTAGTTTTTCTCTCTTTAGGAATCTCTAGGTCCTCCAGCACGGCTCTATGGTTGATGTCCGCCAAACATTGATCACAGAGTCATGATGGAGGCCCTAGAGATTCCTAGAGAAATATTGTCTCAGGTAAAAAACATATCTCTCTCTCCCCCCCCACCCCACTTTCACAGGGGTACTGCACCTTAACCCCTACAGAAGTGGATGGCCTACTGTATATCCCACAATAGAGATGGGACAGACTTCTAAAGCAGGATTGCTTGTCTGTGTAAGCGTGCCTGCCCAAACATCACTGAGCACAAATGAGGTGGATTTTGTCCACCTCACTTATGCTCATATTCTGCTCCTTGGCTGTACAGAGGTGTCTTTGCTGTCTGTGTTATAATGCTTACATCAGGTAATGGTAAATGTAAACACAACATATACAGATTAAACACATCATGTGAAAAGACTCTATGTCTTTCTTCAGCATTTGGCAAGTGCAGAAAACTTGGGAGAGTATTTGGGAATGTTTTAACAGAGATTTTAACATGAAACATTAAAAGTTTAGGAGGTGTGGACATTGGAAGTGATTCTAGTCATTTCTTAGTGAAATCGGAAAAGTGAAATACTACTCGCATTTTCCAAAACCTCTGTATGCCCCATACAACTTAGGCCCCTTCTACACTGCCATAAAATCCAGAAAATCAAAGCAGATAATCTACATTATCTGCTTTGAACTAGATTATATGAATCTACACTGCCATATAATCAGTTCAAAGAAGATAATCTGGATTTTATATGGCTGTGGACATGGGGCCTTAGAAAGGAAGCAAATAATCCCTCACCCAATAGAATCATAGAATCATAGAGTTGGAAGAGACCTCGTGGGCCATCCAGTCCAACCCCCTGCCAAGAAGCAGGAATATTGCATTCAAAGCACCCCCAGCCTCTGTTTAAAAGCCTCCAAAGAAGGAGCCTCCATTACACTCCGGGGCAGAGAGTTCCACAGCTGAACAGCTCTCACAGTTAGGAAGTTCTTCCTAATGTTCAGATGGAACATTAGGAAGAACTTTCCTGTAGAAGGAGTGTTGAAACAGCAAGCATTTCTCCAGCAATTTCTTAATGATTTTGTATTCCACCCAAAGCCCCCATGGAGGCTGCAATATTTTTTTAAAAGAGGGGATCGGGAAATAACTAGGTTTCTTGAAAATACGGAATACTCTAGGAGAGCATGGATATCAAGTTGTTATTCTTACTTACATATCGTTCCCAGTCAATCTCTGAATAAAACCCATTTGGAGCACCATTTGATCTCTTCTGTAATATATAGTCAAAAACAGAAGGCTTTAAATAAACAAATTGACACAAATATTCATTCATTTGACAAATTATAACAAAACTGTGAGTTTCCAGTTCAGAATATAAATGACTTGCAATTTACTTAAGGTCAAATAGGACTTTCTATCGATTAATAACAAGAAAGAAAATACCAGGCCCATAACTGCCTTTGGTTTCCTAAAGCCAAGAGCCAGAGCAAAGATTGCAGGGAGAGAGTACTATGGACCCTTCCACACAGCCCTATATCCCAGAATATCAAGGCAGAAAATCCCACATTATCTAAGTGTGGACTCAAACAACCCAGTTCAAAGCAGAGATTGTGGGATTTTCTGCCATAATTTTTCTGGAATATAGGGCTGTGTGGAAGGGCCCTACATTATATTTTCATTGATAAAATATTACGGCTTATGGCAAAGGCAGGTGGGACCATTGCTCAGGGGGTCTAGTTGCAGAAAATGTCAGTCATTTCCTGACATAGACAAATTACGTGGGCAAGAAAAGGTGATATGAAAGACTGAGGGCCCTTCCACACAGCCCTATATCCCAGAATATCAAGGCAGAAAATCCCACAATATCTGCTTTGAACTGGTTATCTAAGTCCACACTGCCACATATTCAAAAAGATAATGTGGGATTTTATTCAGCTGTGTGGAAGGGGCCTGAAGCCCTAGGAAAGGGAAACAAGCTACTCTGAAGTGCACAGCTTTTAATAGTTTGACCTGGTATAAGGCAGATTCCTGTTTACCATTTAAAAAAACAAAACACAAATCACAAATACATTGAACAGAAACAAAGGGTAATACAAATTGGGTTTCATTGAATTGTAGGATATTTTTATATTAAAAAAGCAAAATTATTAGGCAATCTAATCATGTTCCCTTGGCATTCACAACATGCAGAAAAGCAAAATGTAGAAATATAGATTAAAACATCCTATTCATAATCGGACACTAGTCTCAAAGTGCTTATATATACTCAAATCAAATATTTCATTTCAAAAAGCCCATGTTTAAAACATTTTCTGTATCATGTATAGAATGAGCATTTATCAATTTCACTTCAAAATATGTATTATAAATACAGTATTCAATGTAACAATAGCATTTTAAAGCCAAACCTGGTACACAAAGCAAGGTAAATTCTGATCCTTTTCTAGTTTCTTGGATTATCATCAGTTACTACTGAACAAAATAAAACCCTATTGAATATCAGAAGATGCTGACAATGTGGTAACATTAATCAGATGTAAATACTAGAAACTTATCAGAAACACAGGAAAATATTTGCAGTAGTTAATCATCTTAGTGAAAAATGTACTGAAATGAGCAATGCAGAAACAACATTAACCATACATGTGTATATAAGAAAACAACAAAAACCTCTGCTAGGCTTACAATTGCTCCAAACCAACCCCCTGGAAGCTTTAAACTAATAGGGATATCCTTACCGAAACTGTTTTTCCTCCTTCCTGTGCACATTCTGGTTTGTTATTGGAGGGTGGATCATGAGGATGAGGGCTGGGTGGCTGGAATGGATTTTGTTTTTTATAGAAAAGGGTTAAATTGTTGGGTGGTTTGATTCCTTTAAAAAAACATGAAACTACATGGAGGAAGCAAGCTCAGAATGCACTTTTCAAAGGGATTACTTGCCAAATTTAAGGTTGCTGTCAGCAGACTACTGTAGAGCACATGATAGGGTTCTATTCAGCAGAAAGTAGCACTGTCATAGTTGAGCAGCAGGGGTACACATTAGCAATTGCAAAGGCTTTCCCTTAATTTAGATTCTAGAAAAAAGATCTTCACAAGTTACAACGTTGCCATTGAAGTCAGCTCACACAATTAACATTCTGCGGAGACCCCTTTCAGCTGATCTGCCAACCTTTCCCACTGGCTCCGAGTAGTTTGTGATAAAATTCAGCATTTATTTTGCAGCTGAATGTGCACCTAATAGTGTGGTCCTTGGTGTTTCTATTCTGGTTTTGGCAAGAAAATGGCTAGCAATGTTTTGACATTAAATAAGCTTTGAATCCAGACAACATAATTTTATCTGTATGTCAGCTCTGTTTCTACATGAAATTATATACATTCCCTATGCCCTCTGCAATATGAAGAGCAGACTGATAACATAGCCAATTTTAACATGGCAATTACAAGCTCTGGTCCTTATTTATTTCTCTTACAATAATGTTGTTGAGATTCCGAATGCACAGTCCAAACAGTTGGTATAAAACTACATGATACTCAATGCATTCTTGTTCTCCATGCTCATGTTATACAGGTGAATGTCCTCTTCTTAAAATATTCATCTGCAAACTTTGGAAGGGATATAACTTTAGAAGGGATGGTGCCCAATTTCTTTTTTGTCTAAATACTCCAAGAAAAGTAGTGGAATTTTTCTATTAAATAAGAAATTAGCAGATCTCATAACATCTCTATTTTATTACGTTATTGTCGCTATTTTATTGTATTACCATGTTATTGTTTAGCATTCTTACTTGGTGTTATCATCTGTGTTTGTATGTATTTTATTTTATTTTGCCTTATAGTAATTGTTTGGGCTTGGCCCCATGTTAGCTGCCCCGAGTCCCTTCGGGGGGGGGGGGGGGAGTGGTGGGGTACAAATAAAGTTATTATTATTATTATTATTATTATTATTATTATCACTATTATTATCTGAATACTAAAGGACAATCTTGGAGATCAAGGTAATCAGATTTAGAAGTACAGGCCTTAACTGTATGAAGGGATAACAAAAAGAATCAGGAATACTCATTCGCAATAGCAAACACATCATGGTAATGTTAGTGTTAATGAACTAGTGCAGCTAAAGCTCTGTATCAATCATGGATAACACGATAAAATAAAGTTATGGAGAAATTTTATGCCTGGCACACTCCCAATTGGCTGCACTTAACATTTTGAGTTCTCCAGAGAGACATAGCAAAAGAACACGCTGCCAGATTGCCTTGAATATTACAAAACAGATGAAACAAGAAGACAGTAGAACTACATTTCTTCCCTGCCTGCTTTGCTGAATATCAAGGCACCGTGGCCCAAACTATGGTAGATGTGATATGGGGAATCTTTCATAGGAGCTCATGGGCTGGACCTACACTGCCATAAAGTGCAGTTTCAGAATGCAGATTAACAGCATTGAACTGGATTATGAGTCTACACTGCCATATTATCCAGTTCGATGCAGTTAATCTGCATTTTGAAATTGCATTATATGGCAGTGTAAATCCAGCCATGGTTTCATTGTTGCCATTGCCATTAAAAACATCTATGATGGATGGGATTCTGATTACTATTACAGAGATGTGTCGGCAGAGTTGGATCCTCTAGCCCTTGCTATTTCTCCAACAGAGGTTGCTCCACACCCTATGGTTGCTAGTAGCCAGAGAGTCCAAATCAAGGAAAAATTTATTGAAATAGTTCTGATTTATTTTGATAAATAGAAACGGTGAGAAAGTTTTCCCACTAAAAAATATTGAGCATAATACCATTTAAATATAATTGTCAAAAATACTCTTCATTTCCCTAAAGGGAAGTTTTAGAGTGAATAGGCTTAAACTAGAATTAATAAATTTTGATTGAGCGATCAGAAATTCTTCCTAATGGTAACAACAGTTTCACAAAAGTATCTATTAATGTGTTTTCTCCCTTGGTTGAAGTCCTCAAATAGATCTAGTCCAGATGATGAAAACTTGAGTTTAAAAATGATTAATTCCAGCCAATATTCAAAGAATCTTAGAGTAATTAGTCCAATCTACATTGAAAAGCATTCTTTACTTGCCAGTTAGTAACTTTATTTTTAAAATTGGTTTCCAGCAGCAGTCTGAAGTACAGAATATACTGGTACTTGAACAATGTGATATTACTCCTCTGCTATTTTAACCAAAATTCACTAAATGGAAATTGTTCAGGTCACTGTTCCCTAGTGCTCTGACTCCTCCCAAATATCCTCATTCCTTTGAGTACTTATGGTAAAAAAGATTTACTAATAGTTCTCTGACGTCTTGTCAAATATGAATGTCTAAGAGTCTTAAAATGACACTTTTGCCAAACTACCATATCTGCATCAGAATGCAGCAAACTATCCATTGTAGAAAAATGTACTCAAAATTATGGACTTTTCCACAGATTAACAATCTGTGCTTTCTGTTTTCTGGTGGCAGATGAAACTCTGCATTAAGGAAAGTGCACAGAAGAGGACATAACCTGTTTACTCAGGGCTTCTGTGTGGTATTTCTTTCCTCATGTTCCAACTAACTGCAAGTCTTCAAATATGTAATATAGATGAGGCCTGGAAAGTGAATCAAGTCTACAGGTCTTTGCTTCCCTTTTCACTGCTGAACAGAGCCTTGACCAAATTGTCAAACAAAGTAAATTAAAAGTGCTTGACAGAACACAATGGGGATGCAAAAGGATCTGTGAATGCGGTGTTTTTTGCACTCTAAAGCTGCAATGCTAAGCAAACCTACTTAAAATCCAGTTATTTAAAACGAATTATGCTTACTTGCAAGCAAATTTGTTTAGGATTGAGGATTAAGGATCTTGGGTCAGAAGGTTTCTGTTGTTTTTGTTTTTTTCAAAAAGGGTTTTAAACACATATATCAGGGCCTTTCCAGAAGATAAAACTTTCCAGCATCATAGTGAGTTTATATTAGGACTGTATATTGAACCCTAATTGAACACTTGTATTGAGAAATTCTACCCCCATAAAAAGAACTGGAGAACATGTGGGAAAATGTACAGTTTTGCTATGCAGAGAACAAGTATTCAGCTCTTTAAACATGATTTGGGGTCGATGCATGATGGAGTGAAAATGGTATCCTGTCTTAAGAAAAAAAATGTTTTTGTGATGGAGAGACAATGATATAGTGTTTTAAGAAAGTGAAAATGCAATAGACCATTGATGGGAAGTGTGTGCCTGCTTTTGACTGATGATATAGTAACATTAATAAGGATTGTTGTTGTATGCCTTCAGGTTTAGGATGGGAGCCAACACTGGAATTATATGGAGGGGGTATTTAATTCCAAGCAGTTGCACAAATATTTGTAAAAGAATTTACTTAAGGTCAGCAAATTTTATTTATTTATTTGCTTTATTTTTATACCGCATTTTTCAGCCTAATTCGGCGACTCAATGCGGTTTTCGGCGACTCAATGCGGCAAAGAGGATCACAGAAAGAAATGCTCTTTGCTAAAGTTGCCACAGGTTTTCTGAAAGACTGTAGCACTCAAACAATACATTCTAGATTGAACTTTCCAAACAGCAAGAAGGACGTTAGGAGGCGTAAGCACGGTTTCTTTGGTGAAAAAAGACATGCTGGGAAAATGCAGTGCCTGAACACTGATGTATTTTCTCAAAGGAAGTTACCTAAATCAGCCAGTGCAACTGCTGCTTATTTACTATGCAAAAAAAGATCATCTGGAAAGGCCCTTAGCACTCCAAATTCTTGTAATTTTAGGACAAAAATGACATACTGTATGACTTCCAGTGTCTCCATTCATTGGTGAATATCCATTGAAGAACACTAATAAACTACTCCAATTTCCCTTAGCTTCTTCACAAGATAAATTTAACTAAGAGTTTTAAAGTCAGAATAAATGTAAAACCAAAAAAATCCATATCTGAGCCCAACATTCTTCATTGCAAACTTAAAGTCTAATAGCTGACGAGGTGTTTCCTGCTAGTCCAGTTCTAGCAGGCTCAAAACCTAAAACCATACATAAAAGCAACAGTTAATTCAAGAGCAACCCTTCTTGTATTTCTATTTTCTATAGGTTATTCAATATTGTCATATTATATCCAATGTTTTTCTGTTTTACAAATATTAAGTGCAATAGTCAATGTTTGCAAACTATTCACATATGTGATTAGTATTTGTTCACTCTCATAATTATTAATTTATCTCTGATATATTACACAAAAATATTTCACTGATTGGGGTTTTTTTAATCAAAAGGTGAGTGACACATACAGAGAGAAAAAATATTGTCTGAGATAAAAGGGTCAGAATGAATTTAAGCAAATACTGAAAACTGGACAATATTAGAAACTGATATGTTAACACAGAAATAGAAATAGAAAGGGTTAAATTGCTTATGATAAATCACAAGTTGGGGAAGCAATTTCCATTAGACACATCTAATTTTAAAACAATTCTAACAAAGAAAGTCCTTTAAATACTCACAGTTCCATCCCTGTCTGGTGATCCTCTGTAACAAAGTAAAAAATACTATTACCATTATAGATCAAACAACCTACATTCCTTTCAAAAACATTTTCCTTCACAGTTTATATGGTTGGGAGACACAGCAAACTGATTAGCGACTACAGACATTATCACGCAATGCTCATAGCATGATTTGCAGCCTCCTCAACCACAAATGGAATTGCTTAGCGCTTAACAGCATTCCATATTCATTCCAAATCAATCTGCAGCTTATCTGTAATCATTTCCAAAAATGAGGAATGCAAAAGTACTACAGCAGTGGGTTTGGGGACTATGATATCGGGTGATGCGTGGGGAAGGTAGTGTACCTGCTTAACTTCCCTATAGCTATAGTGCTAGTTATTTCATGTCTGGTCATCAGAATGAGAAAAGCTCTGGCTGAAAAGCTAGAAATGTCCTCTTTCACCCCGTTTGCTTCAACAACAACAACAACAACAACAACCAATATGGCACAAGTCAAAAGCTCCTTTCAGGTACTGGTAGGAAGTTCCCATCTTGATTGGGCAATTCCATACTGTTTGAAAACTTTCATCTATCCGTTTGCAAATGTGAAATCAAAATGCAAAATGTAGCTTTCTGGCTTTTCAATGAGAAAAATCCCTCCTATGCAGAATTCACCAACTGGAGAAAGGCCTCTAATTGTAAAATGCATCTTTGTTTTTTATTAGTTAAAATCATCATCTGTTTTGCAGTACAGCCAGGACTTGCAAAGTAGCAGCTTATGTGAGCTTGTGAATGAGAGATATCCCTCTTTCTTGCACAATACACAAAACAGGAAAAGGATACTAAATGCAAAATTTGTATTTCCATGTTTGTTATTATTTTGAGGGACAATTTTTGTGAACATGTGGAATATTTATTTACCAAGCCCCAGCCCTCCCAGTCTCATGAGATTTTGAATTTTTGGGATTTCACAATTCCTGTGGAATGCAGCATGATTCCCATCGGTCAGCCCTAGCTTTCCATGGGGAGACATGAGAGAAGACTCCCACAGGATGGTAATGCATCCGGGCATCCCCTGGGCAATGTCCTTGCAGACAGTCAAGTTTCTCACAACAGAAGTGACTTGCAGTTTCTCAACTCACTCCTGACACACACACAAAAACTCTATGGAGTGCCTTTGCCTCACACCAAAAGCAACTCCAATTCGCTTCTGACATGATAAGTAAAGGTATTACCCATGGCTACCTGTTTCCACGGTAACACATCTGCCGTGGATAAAGGGATCATACTGTATTTCCACATTACTATTTGTGAGTGAGAGCACAATGAAAATTGTTTTGACCTACTAGTGGAGCGTGTCATAAATTAATATCTGAATAGCTACTGTAGTAAAACAGAGCTGAAACTCAAAATCCCAACACAGTTCCTCAATACCAGGTGATCCAAAAAGTTCTCACTGACTTACTGAAAAAATGGTTTAGTTTATAAATCTCCATATTCACAAGTGTATATATAGAGCAACACTGCCAAAATGGTAAGCATACAAAACAAAACAACCCAGCACTCCTAAAGAGGAAAGTAGCACAAAGTACATCACTTGACGTATTTTGGATTCAACATTACATATTTTTACAGTATTCTTTGGTATGCTATCTTTAAAGCTGTTCCATTAATGCCCCCAGAGTGCCCATAACAAATGTACTTTGAATTATTAAAGATTATGCTGGACATTTGGCTTGACACATTGTAGGAAATTAATTATTTCATTAATTATCTAAGAGGAAAATGTATAAGACAACTTTTGATCATTTTTCTGCCAACATAAGAAGCATTATTGTTTTGTGAATCCTGTAGTGTAGAGGGAAACTTGCATAATTAATTGTTTCTGTGGTGGTTGTTGGTAAACAAACATCTAAAGCTCGTTCCACACAGCTGTATAAAATCAACATTGAACTGGATGATATGACAATGTGGACTCAGATAATACAGTTCAAAGCAGATATTGTGGATTATCTGCCTTGATATTCTGGGTTATATGGCTGTGTGGAAGGGTTCCCATATAATGCACTTCAAACTGCATTATATGGCATTGTAGATGGGGACTTTGGCTCCATCTAAACCAGTGGTTCCCAATCTGTGGTCCATGGACCATCAGTGGTCTGCAAGAACGAAAATATGGTCCGCAGCCTCACCATTGCTACACCACATGACAACAAGAGCGACTGGTCTCGCGAAACCCTCTTATAGTGCCGAGGCAATGGGGATGTTGAGAGGAGAGAGGCTGACAACCCATGAAAGATTACTATGACCACATCTGCTCTAATTTATTAAATATGGTTTTCTGTGGACAAGCAGATGGCAACTACTGGATGGCTTATGTTCTGTATCAGAAACTGGAGCTGATGTGGTTTATCCAATGAATCAACACCCCAAATAACCAAATCAAATCTAACATTTTTTGGGCCATGTTTCAGAAGCATGCTCTTCTGATGGTTTCACCTGCATCTATGGCAGGCATCCTCAGCGGTTGTGATCTAAATTTGACCAAAACTTGATTCGTAACCCTTTTGGTACTAATGTTGGAGAGTGGTTCCTGGTCAAAGTGGTCCTTGGTCAAGTGGTCCCTGGTCAAAAAAAGGTTGGGAACCACTGATCTAAATTGACCACATAATGCAGTTTTAGAATGCAGTCAGCTGCATTAAACTGCATTATGTGGCAGTATAGAGTCACATAATCCAGTTAAACTGTGTTCTGAAACTGCATTATATGGCAGTGTAGATGGGCCCTTAGTTTCTAATTTGAGAACGGCCCAGGTTCAACTCTTCTAAGAAGCCATCCTTTCTAAATCCGTATGTTCAGGGGCTACTTTGATTTAGAAGTGAGGGAAAGGTACTTTGCTTTTTTCAGAGGAACTGTTTCCTTTAACATGTCACATGTTTTACCGGGGGGGGGGGGGGGATTGAGCTATGGAAGAACTTCCGGCAAAAAATGCAGCATCTCTGTCAGATTAAGTGGATTTCAAGGATGGCTGCTGCAGCCGCCTGGATCCTGTTGCTAGGCAACCCATTCCCAAGCTAAGTCTGCAGTGAACTGAGGTATAGATGCCTTTAAGGTGAGGCAATGCATTTCCATCTCTTGCACATTGAAGACGCTGGACATTTCTTAGGCTACAAAACCTTACTTCCAAATAATCCTGTTTGCTATTTTTCCCCCCAGGCCACCAAAGGTTTTTGCTTTGGGAATGAAGGTGCATCAGGATGCCTGAATCACTTAATATTTTAGGGTGCATCTACACCAGGCATGGGCAGACTTGGGCCTTCCAGGTGTTTTGGACTTCAACTCCCACCATTCCTAACAGCCTCAGGCCCCTTCCTTTTCCCCCTCAGCCGCTTAAGGGGCCTGAGGCTGTTAGGAATGGTGGGAGTTGAAGTCCAAAACACCTGGAAGGCCCAAGTTTGCCCACACCTAATCTACACTGTGGAATCAATGCAGTTTGATCCCATCTGAACTGTCATGGCTCAATGACTATGTAGTCATGGAAGTTGTAGCTTTACAGAGCCTTTAGTCTTCTCTGTCAAAGAGTGCTGGTGCCTCACTAAACTACAAATCCCAGGATTTCATAGCATTGAGCCACTGCAGTTCAAGTGGGGTCAAACCACAATGATTATACAGTGGGGTCAAACCACAATGATTATTGCAGCGTAGATGTACCCGTATGACTTCCCATGCTATTTTCTATTTAAGGTTCTCAGAAAGAGAGAGAGAAAACCGTTGCATCAGTACAGAAAGAAATCAATAAACAAAACAGAAAACACGAAGCTGCGAGGAGAAAAGGAACACGCACTTCATGCACAAATTCTAAACATTGCATGTCACAAAACGGCTTAACATTAAAAGCTATTCACCAATCCCATTATGTTCTAAACCACCGCAATGGAACAATCACCTTGACACCAAAGTACCTATAGCTGAAAAGTCAAGACAATTCTCTGCAGACACAAAAGCACGGGGATGCTTGCTTCTTCTAAGAGCTGGCCTCCACCTACTGTTCACTGTCACATAGGCTGCAGTTCAAATGAGATTTTCTATAGGCTTTAATCCCATAAATAGCTTGAGCAGCTTGTTTCAGCCCCCTGTCTTTCAGAGAAGTACTAAGTTTCAGAGGAGAGAGGTACCACATTCAAAGCGGCATACAGGGAGCATACAACTCCTCTGTTACGCCAGCTCCACTGGCTGCCAATCAGCTTTCAAGCACAATTCAAAGTGCTGATTTTAACGTTTAAAGCCCTAAATGGTTCTGGCCCAGATTACCTGTCTGAACGCATCTCCTGTTACAAACCACCACGAAGTTTAAGATCTTCAGGAGAGGCTCTGCTCTCGATCCCACCACTATTGCAAACGCGGTTGGTGGGGACAAGAGACAGGGCCTTCTCGGCAGTGGCCCCCCATCTGTGGAACTCTCTCCCCAGGGACATCAGGTTGGCCACTTCCCTCCTGTCCTTTAGAAGACAACTGAAGACATGGCTTTGGGACCAGGCATTTGATTAGTGGACAGCGGCAGTTGGAAAGAAGAGTTGGGATATCTGTGACATTGAATCTGCCCAGACATGGATTTGGTTTAAACTGACTTAATTTACTGTTTAATGAATTGTATAATGTGTTTTTAATTATTCTTAATTTTTTAATGTATTTTGGACTGTTTTACAAGTTGATAGCATCATATGGTGCTTGTGTAAGGCTGCCCTCAGTCCCCCTTCGAGGGGAGGAGGGCGGGGTAGAAATGCATGAAATAAATAAATAAATTTGCAGGGTAGGAGCAATACAAAAAGTACAGAGTCAAAACCATTTTGATTTTAGAACAGAGGTGGGCAACCTCAGTGGCTTCGTGGGCAAATTTTCTCCCCCCCCCCTCTCTGGGGACTATTCAAACTGGCTCATATTAAAATAGAAAAGGCTGTGGGCATAAGTCTAATTGTGGTTCTGCAAACTGATACTGTTCAGTATTTTACAGCATACTTTCTAACTTTCCTAATTTGACATACTCCTGATTAATCCTATGTTGTCCTATTTTTTCCACTGCTTCCAACTTTGACTATTCCTTAGCTTTCTCTTAGCTGTATGTGTTTTCATCTCTGAAATGTTGGAGAGTATGATCTCAGCCGCCTTCAAAATCTCAGGACATTATCACACGAGGTACATAACAAGAGCTGAATCTTCCCCAACCATGAATGGAATTGCTTCAATCGCACAGCATTGTCCTATAATCATTCTAACCCAGTCTACAATTCATCTCTAATCTGTGCTTTTTCCAAAAATAGGGAACTCCTGTTTTAAGTCGGCTAAAGTGCTTTGAATGTGTTCAAAGTGTTTTCAGCTGTACTGTAAATCCCAAAACACTTCACCAATGAGTTTGGAGACTGGGATGGGTCATTGTAGGCATCACTTTGGACTGCTCCACTCCCCATGGTCATACTGCTTGTCATTTTATTTCTTGGCCATCAAAACTAGAGGAACTCTGGCTGCAACACCGTGACTGTACTATTTTGCCCCTGGACAACCCCCCTGTTGCAGCAGCTCCACTGGCTACCAGTCTTGTTTCCGGTCACAATTCAAAGTGCTGATTATGACCTTTAAAGTCCTAGATAGCTCAAGTCCAGGTTATTTTGCCGACTGACTGCATCATCTTGTACTACCCTGTCCGGGCCCTGAGATCTTCAGGAGAGGCCCTTCTCTTGGTCCCACCTCCATCTCAAGCCCAGTTGGTAGGAACGAGAGTGGGTCTTTCTTCTCAGTGGCTGCCCCTCGACTTTGGAACTCCCTGCCCAAGGAAGCCAGAATGCCCCCTCCTTGCTGTCCTTCTGGTAATGGGTTAAAACCTTTTTATTCAGATGGGTTTTTAAAGATGACGGTTTTAAAGTTCAATTTAGGGGTTGCTGTGGTTTTCAACTTTGAATAGGTTTTAATGGTTTTTAACTGGGAATTTTTAATACTGTTTATATTTAATCCGGTTTTATTGGTTGCATATTTGTATATTTTAAATTATATGCTGATGCTTTTATGTTAAGCCACTTTGAATCTGGTAAAGAATATGGCAGAGTTAAGAAGAGGACTATTGACTGTGTGCTTTAAAAATAAAGCCATATACAGTATACCATCTGCTACCTAAAGGACTGCCCTCACTCCAAAACACTATGAAGTTCTAAAATTACCTCCCTTAACTACTGTTTCTCTGCTGATTTTTTCACTGTACATGTCAAAGAGTACTTTTAATGTGTACTGACTATTATATCTGTTCTTCAGGAGTGACTCCCTTCTCCTGTTTCTCTATAAACTTACGTGGAATCATTGTCCTTTTCTTTCTTCCGTATCCCAAAGGCCTTCCTTGTACGTTTTTTCAGTCCTGTAGAGACAAAAGAGGAACACACATTTGGATAAATATGGTGATTTTAAAAATCCATCATAACCTAGTTTTAAAAAACTGATCTAGAAGACAGCTTCATTTTCACATATATATAAAATTAGGACACCATTCTAAGTGACAAAAATACATCGGAGTAGAAAATTAAAAGTAAATGTTTTGTTAGATGAGAAATACATACTCTTTAAGGCTTTTTTTAGAAAAGCATTTTAGTAGTTCTGTCAGTCGTTTAGAAAGTTTAAATCTCCAAAACATAAACCTATGTGCATCCTTACATGATTGCTCTTATTTGCAACTATTTACACCTATTAGGGTTCCCCCACCCCAAATGATAAGCAAGGTTAAAGCATGAAATCACATAAAATAGATCATATGCTCTAGAACAGGGGTCCTCAAATTTTTTAAATAGAGGGCCAGGTCACAGTCTCTCAAACTGTTGGAGAGCCGGATTATAATTTGAAAAAAACATGAATGAATTTCTATGCACACTGCACATATCTTATTTGTAGTGCAAAAACATTAAAAAACAATACAGTAATTAACATGCAGAACAATTTTAACAAATATAAACTTATTAGTATTTCAATGGGAAGTGTTGGCCTGCTTTTGGCTGATGAGATAGGATTGTTGTTGTTGTTGTTGTTGTTGTTGTGTGCTTTCAGGTCATTTCAGACTTAGGTTGACCCTGAGCGAGGGCCACGTAAATGACCTTGGAGGGCCGTATCCGGCCCCTGGGCCTTAGTTTGAGGACCCCTGCTGTAGAAGGATTAATATATTGTGCAGCTTCTGGAGAAGTAAAAGGGGGGATTATTATTTAACAATATATATTAATATGTTGATTTTAAAGTATTGTATATTTTCTAGCTTCTCAACAGAGTTGAACCTGCTACCTTGCACTACATCTCACACAAATCTCCTGAGACATAACTAGGAATCTGAAGAATAGCCACAAATTGGGAGATGTATGCATACACAGACTCCTTTTGCCTGTTAATTAGTTTTTTTAAAGCCCTTTTCTCTTGCAAAGGAAAATAAATTAAATTATTGATAGGTGGGCTGCATCTCAAAATAGAATCACAGAAACATAAGAGTTGAAAGAGCCCACAAGACCTTGCAATTGGATGCAAGGTCCTTTGCAGAAACAGCCTATATAGTGTCAACTCTAACAAGAATATTTTACAAATCTGTGATGGTTAAACAACAAAACATTCAAACGAAAGGTAGTTTGGACATCTAGTTCCTCCATCATACATTTATTTGAATTAATTTCCCTCTCACTGTACTGCCATCCCTTCTCACACAATAGGTTAATAATAATAATAATAATAATAATAATAATAATAATAATAATAACAATAATAATAATAATAATAATAATATCTATGTATTACAAATATACACTTGATCACATCTACCTACATCATTTTCAGCAGATAAACCATTACTAAAGAAGACTTGTGCAGTTGTATATATTACAAAAATGTCAGAAGAGAATATCTTGTGCTATACTTCTCTGAGTGCAAGACTGTTGCTAAAGCTATATCTGTTTATTTCATCCCTGGAAGCCAAACTAATCAACTGCTGCAAAAATACACCCACATTTTCAGCTCCTATCTCTACTCAGCCTGTGTAGCTCTAACATCCTGTGGGGAAAAAGGGTATCATCAGCACAACTCATACCATAGCCAAGTAATAATCTGATGTCATAAGCACTATTTTTAAAAAGGATGCTTAGTCAGACTATCAGACTACTCTATTGCAAAAGCTACAAATGAAACGCACACCTTGAGCAGTCCTTCCTATCTCAGTCTGAACTATTCACTTATTGCCACATAACAAATCTAGGTCTGCTTTGGTATGTTATCTTGGCAGTCAGCAAAGAGCAGTCTTGGCTCCCTAATATGCAATAGAAGTTTCTGTAAACACAAGACTGTCACATTCACACATTACATTCATAGATGAAATGGCTAAAATACACACATATTGGGAATATAAAGCTTGAAGCAGCATTTTGCATGTAAACTATTTTTTCACTGTATTTCAGGCTCAGCATGCAATATAATCCCATGCCAAATTCATACCTGATGCCTAATGGCATGGCATCTGTCTTTCATATACTTCTACTAATCAGACATAAATGGGGACTCTTAACCTTACAGCAGGAAGACACTATTTCTTCTTAGAGAACAACAGAGAATGGAGTGAATAGTCTGGTTTAACAACTAAGTATGTCTCATTTTGAAGGTAAATCTATGAAGAATGGTATTCATCTCAAAATCCTCTTGGTGTTGGACTACAAGTACCATTAACTTTCATTAACCCTCCTCCACCATGACCACTAGCCAGGAATACTGCAATCTGATATGTCTGCAAGAGGGGACTAAAGTGGTACTTTAAAGTACTAACATTCTCCAGAGAAAACACTAGTGATTAAAAGTTAGAATGGTATCAACCAGTATGTTCACTTTCCTCCAGAAACATGCAGGAACATCATACTTCTCTCTTGGTGCCCTGGAAATATTATACAAGCACACCAAGGTCAATTGTTCAAGTCCATGTCAGGGTTGAGCACCCACCATTGGCCCCAGGTCACTTGCCCACTTAGCAGGTCAAATGCAGAAATGCAGGTACATAAAATAGGTACTGCTTTTTGCAGGGAGGTAATAAAGGCGCCCTTAAGGACATTGACTCGAGGAAAGCTCACACCCCCCCCCCCCCCCCCCGTGGTCATAGTAAAGCACAGCCTCCAAGATGCCAGAAATAAGTTGGGAAAAACTGCTTTTATCTCTGTTATGTTGTCTGTCCTTGTTATTGTATTATCGGCATTAAATATTTGCCATATGTGTGTTTTGTAAAGCCGCTCTTGAGTCCCCTTGGGGTGAGAAGGGCAGGGTACAAATACTGTAAATAATAATAATATTATTAATAATAATAATATCAAGTGTTGCCATTTTTTCCAAGGTTCTGACCTTTTGATCTGGAGTTGGTAGCTTAAGAGGATAAAAATAACATTATTTCAGACAGAGCAAAACCTGGCTATTTTTTTAAACACACCTCAAGCATCTTCAAACTGGTTTCCAAGCAGAACAACTGGGTTTTTTTCCATCAGTTTTCAACAATGGATTTGTTATAGATACTTTAATGCTGTGAAACACAGGACCCTTTTTTAGTAAAGAAATTATCTTTGAAAATGCCTGCAATACTATGAAAATGCTGAAGAATCAATCTCTAGATACAGTTGCGTCTGCAATACACCCAAAGAGAAAGTATGTATAAGCTATTGCCCTGCAAATAGGAAGTGACATTTAACTATAAGAGAATGATCACCTTTGGGAATTGAGACACTGAAGGTAAGCCAGTAATGCATAACAACCTGAAGCATAGAGCAGCTGCTTCACTTGACAGTAAAAAAGTACAAAAATAATTAACTATAAAGTAGTTCTACAGTGCCTACATAAAACAGTGCCCTATATATGCATACACAAAATATCACTAATAAAGTCAACAATTAGACAGGCCAAGTATCCGGTATTCAAAATTCTTAAAACCAAAAATATTTTGGATTTCTTCAGATTTTAGAATAGCTATATTTGCATTGACGTATACAGCTATTCCAATGAGATAACTTGGAGATGAGGATCCAAGTCTAAACATGAAATTCCAATTACAATCATCCCTCTACATTTGCAGTTTTGACTTTTTGGGTTTGATTATTTACAAGTTTTATTTAAAATATTCACTAGGAATCTCTAGATCAATGAGATTTTAAAGTCAACTTCCTCTGATCATGTTGTGAGTGCTAGAACAACTGGACATTTCTAGGAATGTATTGTCGAAGGCTTTCATGGCCGGAATCACTGGGTTGTTGTAGGTTTTTCCGGGCTATGTGGCCATGTTCTGGAGGCAATTTTTCTCCTGACGTTTCGCCTGCATCTATGGCAAGCAGAGGTAGACTGCCTTTTCTAGATGTCCTAGTCATCCGCAAACCAGATCAACAATTGGGTCACACCGTTTACAGAAAACCCACACACACGGATAGATATCTACATAAAAACTCCAACCATCACCCAAGTCAAAAAAGAAGCACCATTAAAGCCTTGGCAGACCGTGCAAAAAGAATCTGCGAACCCCACCTTCTCCAAGATGAACTGAACCACCTAAACTGGGCTCTACAGGCCAATGGATACTCCACCTCAGACATCAGAAGAGCTGCAAAACCGAGAACAAGCCACGGGAGTAAAGATGAAGATCCACCCAGAGGAAAAGTGTTCTTGCCATACATCAAGGGAACCACTGACCGCATAGGGAAACTGATGAGGAAACACAACATACAAACCACTTACAGACCCACCAAGAAAATCCAACAAATGCTACGTTCAGTGAAGGACAAGAGGGATCCTCTCACCTCTGCAGGAGTCTACCGTGTACCATGCAGCTGTGGACATGTCTACATAGGGACCACCAAACGCAGCATTGCCCAAACACGAATCAAGGAACATGAAAGGCACTGCAGACTACTTCAACCAGAGAAGTCAGCCATAGCAGAGCACCTGATGAACCAACCTGGACACCGCATATTATTTGAGAACACAGAAATGCTGGACCACTCCAACAACCACCATGTCAGACTACACAGAGAAGCCATTGAAATCCATAAGCATGTGGACAATTTCAACAGAAAGGAAGAAACCATGAAAATGAACAAAATCTGGCTACCAGCATTAAAAAACTCAAAAATTACAACAGCAAAACAACAGAGGGGAAACAAACAGGCACATAGAATCACTCTCAACAAAAGATTCCCCCCGGGCACTTCCAAGCATTGAATGCTAATCAAGGTGATCAGCTGAAACATTCACAGCTAGCCCCAGCAGACAAAAGTCCTTTGTCTCACCCTGGTCATTCCACAGATATATAAACCCATTTTTCCTACTTCCAACAGACCTCACTACCTCTGAGGATGCTTGCCATAGATGCAGGCG